TGATAAATAAAATGACCGACAAACATAAGGTCCATTTGTGTTGTGTTTTTTGGCTGGGAAAAATTTCGGAAAAAAAATAAAATAAAATTCCAGCACCAGTAGCCAACTAGATTATCAAATATCAAGGGAATTCATTCTTTTTATGATGATGATGATGTTTACTTTTTGAGAAAAAGAAAACTGCATTTTGTCCGATTTACTTTATTATAACTGTTATTATGGATGTGAATCGAAGAAATTCGATACGGCACGATGAACAACCGAACAAGCAAAAAAAAAAAAGAAAAAAAAATCATTTCCATTCATTGCATATACACTTGACAAACAGAAAGAAAGACACCAGGCATCAAATCAAAAATCGATCGATCGATCGATTCAAACAGAAATGATCGATACGCGAGCACACAGACACAAATCCGAAAAAAAACATTAAAAATAAAAAACTTACCTGAATCTGAATCAAAATGAATTGAATTGCTGTTGTTATTCACATTCAATACTGAATTTGTTGCGGATGATCCACCAGCAGCAGAATTGGAATTGGTCGATTGATGATTTGCATTCACCTTTGTTACCTGTAATGAAAACGTAAAACGAAAAAAAAAGATGTTAGTCATTAATTAATCGATAGACCAAAAAAAACGCTCAAATCAAACATGATTTAGGCGTTTTTATGTTGGTAATTTAATTCAATTAAAAGTCGAATGTAATGTCCAGAAATGGTCGATCTGAAGTAAATTCAGTTGATCACTATGATCATGTAATGATAATCAAAAAGAAAATTGTCAATTTATTTTCTCAAATGACCAAAACAACAACAACAACAACAACATAAAAGTCAAAATTTGTTTCTTTTGGATTTTATTCGGAATGACCTTTGCTCTTTGTGCTATTATGGAATACAAAAACATCATTATCATCATGTATCGAGGCTTATCATAATCATCGATACCAATCAAATCAATCAATCAATCAATCGAAAACAAAAAGGAAAAGTGATCTAAATTTTTTCTTTTTCTTGCAAGTTGTTAAATTTGATTCACATGTTGTTTACACACACACACACACATGATGATGATGCTTCGAGGCTTTTATAAATGTTTTTTTTGTTTTGTTTAAAAAAACAAAAAAACAAAACAAACGATATAAACATTCATTAATTAAGATTTAAGATTTAATTAATTAAGGCTAATTAAAATTAAATCAATTTTTGAAAAAACATACAAAGGTTCAAATGTCATTCAGTAAAGAGTGAAATTCAGAGTGAATTTAGGTCATTTTTTTGGATCAAAAATAAATGAAGAAAAACGAATGACACACAACCAGGTGAAATGACCAAATGACAAACGAAATGATTTTCTGAACGAAAAAAAAAAATCTGGCTATATTCAAAAATTTACATTTTAACAACAACAACAACAAAAAAAGATTGTCTGCCTTTCAATAAAATCCGAATGAATGAAAACATTTGAAAGAAAGAAAAAGTATGGCTGGTCAACATACATAGAGAGAGAGAGAGAAAAAAGAGAAAAAATGATAGGTTATCATTATTCACAATTAGGGATGACCATTAAGAGTATCCTATTGATTGTGTTGTGTTTTGTTATGCTGTTGTTGTTGTTGTTGTTGGCCACTTAATATAATCATCATTATCATCATTCATTTCATTTCATTGAAATCGATTCACAATCTTTCTATTCCTTATCATTATTCGTCGTTTGATTCAAATTGAATTTTCAAATCAAACACACAAACACAAAGACAAGACTGATGCGAATAGAGAAGAAGAAAAAATTGTTTTTGTCATTATAATGAGGGAAAACAAAAAAAAACTTGAAAGCCAATTAACCAGAAAAAAAGGAGGGAAAAAATCCAGTTAACATCATCATTAAAAAAAAATCTTAATGCAGCCCAAAATCGAAATGAATAAAATTTAAATCGAAAAAATCCAAATTCAAAAAAAAAAACATTTTCATTTATTATTCTTGGAACAATCAAAACTCGAATCTAAATTGATGATTTTTTCGTTTGTGTGTGTCACAAAATTAGGCTGCCAAATGAATTGGATTCTCGACAACAAAAACAGGAACAACATCTTAGTGAAATCATTAAAACGAAAAAAAAAATCAATCAATGAAGACAATCAATAAATTCAGTATCTGTGTTTGATCTTTTTGGATTGAAAAATTCACCGGAAAATCGGATTTTCAATTTGAATTTTTCTCAAGATTTTCATCGGAAAAAAATCAAAACTAAAATCCACATCTCAAATTCACAAAAACCACACCATAACTGTTATTTTTTAAAAATTGTTAAATGGCCATCATCATCATCATCAGATTTGCAATGGAAAAACAACAAAATATCAAAACAAAAACAAACATAACAAAAACTCAATGTGTTTATTCAAGTGAATCATTTGTGTATATCACGGCTGTTTTTGTCTTGTTTTGTTTTGTATTCGGGTTAATCTAGAAAAAATTCAACAAACAAGCAAAACGAAAAAAAATCCGATGTTTATAATGATGATGATAATTACATAGTAAATGAATGGAAAACTACACTAAATCAAAAACAAAACAAAACAAAAAACGATCAAATCAAGATTTTTTTTCCCATAAAATAAAAACCACAATCAGCCAACAACAAAAGAAAAGAAAGAAAAATCAGATAAAAAAAGCAGCTAATTAGCATCCTAAAAATGTTTTACATATGAGAAAAACAAAACCAAACAAATTCTGTTAACCAAGAATCTTTTTCAATACCTTTTTCATCGATATTCAATAATGATGATGGCTATTTTGTCAATATTTATTTTTGATGATTTTTTCATTGATCATCAATCGATCAATCAATCATCACAGATCAATCAATCAATCAATCGATTAAGAGATCAGAGATGAGAATCACAATTTTATTTCATCACTGGTACAGTTGACATTCGAGACAACAGCAAAAAACAAGGAATTTTTCAAAAGAAAATTCACACACACAGCATCCATTCATCATCACCAAACACTGAATTGAATTTAAATTTTTGACAACCAAGAACAAACACAGAGACAGACAAAAATGATGGAAACTTTTTTGAATTCAATTCACAAATACAACTTTCAACTATTTCAACTTATATTGACTTTTGCTTCTTTTTTTTGATGCAAAATAGGTAAGAAAAAATTATGTAATTGATATATTTGGAGCAAGCAACAAATATAGGTGAAAATAACGAAATAAGAAAAAAAGATTCTTATTAATGAATTTCAGTCAAGTCAAGTCAGTCAGTCAGAAGGAATTTGATTCTTGATTCTTGACAAAGATTTGTGAATGCCGGAAATATATTATTCTTTTTCAGCGAATCGATGATTCGGCAAGAATTTTTGCTTATTGTTTTTCGTTTCAAATTTTGAGAAAATTTTAAAACTTTTTTCTCGTTGAACAACCGAAAAGCAGAATACCCACATTTATTTATTTTAGTAGGAAAAAAATTGATTTGGTCAAACAAACAAACAAATTTCAAACATAAAGCAATCTGATCGGAGATTACAGAAACAAAAAATCTTTGAGATGCAAATTGCGATTGAAAAACAACAGCGACAAATATGTTGAGATGTGAACACGACCAACACTGTCGATCAACTGACTTGACTGACGATAAAAACAACGAAGTCGAAGAAGAAGACGACGATTGTGAATCAACCAGAAAAAAAAAGATAAATGGCATGATCGAGAGAAATGAAAAAACCAAAAAACCTGACTGAACATAACCAGCCAGCCAGCAAGCCAAATAAAAAAAGGGCCATATAGCCAATGTTATAACCAAAAAGAAGCAGAAGCAATGGACATCAGCAAACGAACAAAAGTCGGTTCCATTTATATATTCAGTATTTTTTTTCCTGGCTGGTTTTCTTTGAATTTTGCCATTTTCTCTGTGTGAACCAAACAACCAACCAACCGATCAAACTGAATGGACCAAAAAACAGAAATGAAAAGCCTGCCATAAACAGAAAAAAAATTTTTGCTCAATTTGCAAACAACATTTTCAAGCAAAAAAACGAAAAAAAACTAGCTATTCGAGCAGTATTCACCGAAATTCAAAAGCAAAGCAAAAAAAAGAAATTCGAGCCGAACAACAAACGAAAAAAACTAGTTATGAGAAACACAAGCCAGTCAAGTTAACCACCACCACCACCACCATTCATTGAAATGAAATGAAAATATCCACATTCAAATTTTATATAGCAAAATCGGGAGTCGAATCTTTGAAGGACCGAAAAACAAAAAACAAAAACAACAAAATTTCGCTTTAAACATCATCATCATCCAGATGGATTTTTTTGCTTGCTTTTGGAGCCATTCTTCTCCATACACACACATACAGTGCAAACGGTTTTTCTCACAGTGTGTTCGAGTGAAGAATATGCTACGGAATTCCGAAAAGGAACAAAAAAAAAAAGTTTCAATGCAAAACACACACACATAGTGAGAGAAGCAAATAGCAGTATATTCTAACTAGAAAAAAAAAGGCAGAATATTACATAGGATTCCGTAACAATTGAATAACACTGAAAGAGAGACCCTTTTTTTCATTATAAAAGAATCTGTTTTTTTTGGTTGGAAAAAAAACATCAACCAAAAAAAATTCAATACAATTCTATTTTGGAAATGGAAGAAAAAAAAGGCGTCTGAATCAACCATAGAATATTCTATCCGATTCATTCATTGTGTGTGTGTATGAATGTGAATGTCAGATCAGTATTAAAATGTTCATTGCCAAACAACAACAACAACAACAACAACAGGAACCACAATGTAATTTAATATCACATCTCTTTTTCTTCTCTTTCACTCTATATATATGCACATTTGAAAATTATTATCACATCACCATCATCATCATCATGATGATTGTAGGAAACCGCAGCATCATAATAAAATCAAATGGCCATTTTTTTATTCGACTGAACAAAAAAAAAAGATTCAGTCACCATACATACATAGAGAGAAAACATTAGTATACTGGACACTAGGAATATGATGAAAAATTATTCAAAAGGGAAAAAAACAATAAGGTTTATTTTTCACATCATTACTATTCATAATAATGATGATTATGGAATCAATCGAATGAATCGATCATCAATCAATCAATCAATTTGAAGCATGAAACATGATCAACATTTGGACATTTCCATACAAGCACAGAAAAAAAATAAACAACTAACCTTGATAGAAGATGCCGTGGTTGATGATGATGAAGCTGATGGCGACATTGATGATAATGGACGATTATTATTGACCATTGTTGTTGATGATGTTGATGATGTCGATTGTTGTTGTTGTTGTTGATGTTGTTGCATTGCAGCTGCACGTGCAGCAGCTTTACGTACAGCTTCACGACGATTTGAACATTTTATTAAATCAGCTATTGTACGATTATCTTCAACAGTTTCTTCTTCGTCATCATCATCTTCGTCATCATCTTCATCACTATCACTATCATCGGATGAAGAATCAGAATCATCTGAACCAGAATCATTTTGTGTATCATCATCTTCATTTTGATCATCTGAATTATCATCTGATTGATCAGAAATTTCATCATCATCATCATCATCACCATCAACAACATCAGAATCATTATTATTATTATTATTCGGATTACGACGATTTCTTTGTCGACGTTGTTGTTGTTGTTGTCGACGATTATTTGTTGTTGTTGTTGTTGTTGTTGATTTATGACGTTGTCGTTGATTGCGACGAACAACAACAACAACATTATCATCATCACTATCATCTTGTTGATCATCATCACTATTATCATCACTTTGGTCATCATTATCATCATCATCACTAGAAATCGATGTTACACCATTATTGTTGGTCACTTTTCGACGATTATTTTTCATTTGTAATTTTTGATTTACAATTTTCGATTTCGTTTTCACTGTTTTGTTGTTGTTGGTGGTGGTGGATTTTTTGCTGTTGCTGGTCGTCGTCGATGTTTTATTAACATTTTTAACCATCTTTAATGATTTAATCGGTGATTTAGATTTTTTCGGTTGATTCTTAACCTGTTGTTGTTTTTTCAACGATTGTTGTTGTTGTTTAACATTATTATTCGTCGTTGTCGATTCCTTGATTAAACATTTAGATTTTTGTAGGCACTTGCTACAAGCTATACGATTTTTAGCATGTTTATGTAAACATTTTATTATAGGCAGAATATTCTTTTGATCATCATCATCATCATCATTCTCATCACCATCCACATCATCATCATCATCACTTGTATCAACAATTTCTTTGGATAAAAATGATTTTCGGGAATTATTATTACCACCTTTCTTACTGCTGGTATCATTGGTGGTGGTCGTACAAGAAGATTTTTTATTTGTCAAATTTTTTGAAGCTCGACATTTTTTCAATGATGAAGATGAGGATAATGATTTTTTCATTGGTGATAATGATGATGATCGATTTTTTTTACCATTCAAAAGACTTGTTGATTTTTTATTATTTCTATTTGTTGTTGCTTTGAGCGAAGATTTTTGAACAATTTCTTCATCATCATCGCTAGATGATGATGATGATGATGATGTTGGAGATGGACTCCTTCGTAATAAAATTAAACCATCACAATTAAAATTATTATTATTATTGATCTGATTGGATGATGATAATGATTTGCACCTTGTTATCGTTGTTGACCTATCACCATCACCATCACTAAACAATCGATTGTTTAAATCGATAGTTTGATGATTAAGAGAATGATTATTACTTAATTGTTGTTGTTGATGTAAAGAATTATTTGTTGTTGTTGTTGTTATCATTGATTCAATATCTTCACAATCAGATTGATAACAATTATCGGATAATTCTGATGACGACGAAGACGATGATGATGATGATCGATTTGGATCCAATGATTTACGAATACGTTTACTTTGATCGACAGCACACTAAAAAAATTGAATGAATGGATGATGGATGAATGAATGAAAAGGAAAGAAAAAAGAAGAAACAAAAATCATGTTAAAACATTTAAAGATAAGATGTGTGTCGTATAGGGAGAGAGAGAGAGAACTTGTTCTTTTGGTTATACTGAAAACAACGAAAATAAAAAAACCTCTGATGCCCTGCTGCTGCTGATGATTTCAATCGATGGTCAACGAAAGACTCTCTGGAGTGAGAGAGAATGATAGAGAAAACATCACATAGTGAAACCAGATTTCAAAAACATATAACCGGCTAAATATTTCAATAATAATAATAATCCTTGTCGTTCAATTTTCAACAACGAAAAAAAAATTGATGATGATGACCATCCTGCGTGTTTGTCCAACAATAACAATAAAATTCATTTGACAATCCAAAAACGGGAAAGAAAAAAGGGATGTCAATATAAAAACCGAATGAATTTCATTTTATGTTTGGTTGCAACAAACAAAACAAAAATTTTCATTGTGAAAAAAAGATAACGGCTGTTAGTCACGCTGCTTATCCCCCTCTTATTGCTAAACATTATCATCATCGGTTGGATTCAAGCTAAAAATAGATGAAAGTTTCCAATCAAACAAACAAACAAACAAGAAAAGAAAAAAGAAAAGACGACTTGTTGAAGAAAATGGACGATATACCATTTGGAAAAAACATACTACCACCAATGGATGATGCATTGATCATCTGATTAGAAAAAAAAGATCACCATCAAGAAGAAATTGGTTTTTTGGTTTTTGAGACCAAAATGATCAATTCAACCAATTCAATGGTCTGATTCTAAAGAAATCTTTTCTTTTCATTTTTGATTTCTTTTTGGCGCCATGTTGATCAAATATAGGAAAATTGATCACATGGTTTTTTTTTGGATTCCAGAAATAAAGAAGAACAAAAAGATTGTCAATGCCAATATTCATCTTATGTAACGAAAAAATGATAAGACACCCCTCTCTTCTTCAATGAAAAAGAAAAAGAAAACAGCCAACTGACTGACTTAATCAAGGACCAAGGATTCATTCGGGGGCAAATAATAAAAAAACTAAAACTGACTCTGGTATATATTTTGTCAGTTTTTCAGTCTAGTTTGCTATATGGTTCCATAATGCCAATAATAATATGATATTCACTATACATGTATTGTCTCTGTGTGTTTCTGTCCAAAATATATCTGTATATGTTATATAACAAACATTATTTTAGTGGATGATGACGTTAAGTTTCAGACGCAATTCAGTTTCTTTCTTTTTTTTTGTCGTCATTCACACAATGTGAATGAATGAAGCTCACATCATCATCATCATGAGAATCGTCAAAAACAATTTTGTTAACATTCAGACACACATAGACAGAGTACACTATTTTTTTTTTGTTTTCTTAAAGGATCCAACTTTTCTTCATCGTTTTCAAGGCTTTCTTTTTAGTTTAGTTTTTATGAACAACAAAACAAAAAACAACAACAACAAGAAAAAAATCGGTGAATCAAGGGGGGTTGGTAAGTATATTTTTCGTGTCAATCGGGAAAAAAAAGTTTTTTTCTTTTCAACAAACAAAAAAAAAACAAGGTTCCCGCGAAAGTTTCTAAAAGAGAATTTGTTCGGAAATAAACGGATTCTCTTGGTTATTCAATTTCTTTTCTCTCTCATTCTTTTCCTTTCTTGTTATCATCTAATTCCAATTATTGTGAGACTAATTTTGCTCCAAAATAATAATAAGAATTTTTTTGTTTGTTTGTTTTTCATTCTAAAAATAATTATTTGATAAACAATAGAACAACAAGAAGAACAGTAATCAAGGAAAGGTAATCACCTGAAAGCCAATGGAAATAATGAATATGGAAAAAGTAAAATTTTCAATTTTCCAATAACAGAAAAAAACTTACCATGAGATCATTTTCATTATCAAACACTTGTAGAGCAAAATTTTCAATTAAATATTCTTTATAATGTATTGTACGTGGTGGTGGTGGTGGTAGTTTTCTTAATGTTTCATTAACATCCAAAATACCATTGGACAATGATGAAGAACATTTATCATTATTGATGGACAACACTGATGATGATGATGATGATTGTTGTTGTTTTATGGTTGAAAATGCTGAATTATTATTCGATGAAATTAGATAAGTATTATTACCATTACCCGTTGTCGTAGGATTAATCAAATTTGATAAATCACTAATAGAATCAGTCAATGGAATAGTTTTTCCAGTTGTCAATGATGATTTTCTATTCAATTTGTTGCTATTATTCACCGTTTTCGTTGATTTGCTGCTGTTACCGTTAGTATTTTTCAATAAATTTTTCGTTTTTGATTTTCTTGCCGAATTTGTTTGTAATGATTTTCCATTATTATTTAATAATGAATCAGATAGGCTTGCATTTTGTTGTTGTTGTTGTTGTTGCTGTTGTTGTTGCTGTTGATGATCAGCACGTGCTTTTTCTTTAAAAAATTTAAAAACTTTTGGTTTTGTTTTATTATTGAGATCAGATGATGATGATTGTATTGGCTGATTGTTATTTGTAAAATGAAAAGCCGATGTCGACGACAAAGATGATGATGATGATGGTTGTGTAAATGCTGAATGATTTTGAAATGAATTTACAGATGCAGAAGAATTTGTAGGGTTAATAAAATGATTACGAAATGTAAACAAATTATTATTATCATTATTAGTAATGAAACAATTGGCATCATTTGGATTTGTAAAATTTAGAAATTCATTTGAATTATGATGATTATTATAAATAAAATTATTATTATTATTCAGGCTACTATGATGACTAAGATTATCTGAATAATTAACACCATTCATATTATCATTATTGTTTGATGATAATGAATTGATTTGTCCATTTTGTTGTCGTGATTTGATCTTGTTGCTGTTATTAAGATGATCTATTGATGATGGACTATCATTATATCCATTTAATAATGTTGTTTTTGATTTGATTGTTGTTGTTGCTGTTGTTGAATTAAATTTACCATTCAATAATGGTTGATGTTGATGATGATTAGATTCACGTGCTAATAGATTCTTTTTGAATGGTAATAATCTTTGTTGTTGTTGATTTGATTCCAATGTCGTTGAATGATTATTATTATGACCATTTAAACCTAAATGATTATTATGATTTGTTGATTGTATCGATAATGATGATTTTTTGCCTGTCGTTCCATTTGGCCTTTGATTAAAATGGTTTCCATTTTGATGATTGCTGCTGTTGCTGTTATTGTTATTGGTTCCCTTTAGGCCTCCAGTTTTCAAATTGTTAGATAACGACAATCCACCACCACCTACACCGCCACCATTAACCGCAACAGCTAAATTGATTTTGAAAAAAATTGGAAAAATTCAAATTTTTGTTAAACAGTTTCAGTGCGATCAATCAATCAATCAATCAATCAATCAATCAATCAATTTTTTTTTTGATAAACATTTTTACATACCTGCGGTATTTGGTGATGATGTCGATGATGATGATGACGTTATTCTTCCCGTTATCGAACCGGTAATTGATGCCGATCCATTTAGACAACGTTTTATATTTGAATTTGATAATTGATCTGATATTGTTGTTGTTGTAATCGCTGAAGAAGATGCAGATGATGATGAGGTAACTGATTCAATACTTGATAATAAAAGTGGAAATGGACGTCCAGTTACTTTAGTGGTCGCCGTTGTTGTTGTTGTTGATTGATTATTGTTGGTGGTGTTTGTTGTTTGAGATAAGGAGGAAGAAGAAGAAATTGCTGCTGATTGCGGTAGTCGATGATTATTAACAGGCAGGTGAGGAGGATGATGAGGAAGTGGTGGATGATGATGGTGGTGGTGATGATGATGTTTGAAAACGTGAGTACTGGTCTCCATTCAGACCTTCATTTCAATTTTTTTCCATTTGATTTTGGGATTTTTTTTCTTTTGGTGATTGATTGGATTCAGTTCCTTTTTGATTCCGGATTAACACTTCGCGAGACACCCGGAGACACATTACATAACTGTAGAAAAAAGGTGATGGATACTTTTTCTTGGAAATTTCGAGATGAAACACCACCACCAACGCAAAACTTTACATTGACTGAACGAAACGAAACGAAAAAACAAAACAATGGTTGGCCCCAATTCAATGTTAATGATGATAATGATAATAAACAAATAAATCGATTATGATTGGGGAATGAAGATTCTGTAAATCGAAAATGATTCGATTCCGAATTAATAATGGATGAAAAGAATCACAACACAGACACAGAAACAACAAAACATTCGAATGTTACACACCCACATCATCATTTGATTTCAAAGTGAAAAAAAAAGATTTTCTTTTTTTGAAAATGAAAAACACACACACACACTGTTGTTGTTGTTGTTGAATAATTATCCCAGTAGTTGGATGATTATATTACAGGCAACATAAAATCAATGATCAATGATCGATAATAAGCTATGTTGTTTGTTGTTTGTTGTTGTATAGATTGATGGAACATCATCATCATCATAATCGGTAATCACACATATTAACCAACAAACATCATCAGCAGCAGCAGCAATAATCAACAACAACAACAATAACAAACCAAATCAAAAAAAAAAATGAAAAAAACGAAAAAATCCAACGTGAATTGAAGTTTATGGAACGACGGCCAACTAAAGACTGAATTTGAACTGTGTGCACAAACAACGATGGTGGTGATGATAAAATCCGACGACCATAAAGAAAAGAAAGAGCAATAATGGTGGTGAAATAAGAGAGGGAGAGGGAGAGAGGGAAACAAGGAGAGAGAGAAGGAGATAAAATATCTTTTTTTTTGAACATAGAGATGGTATAAGAGGAGAGAATCACATTGAGTTTTTGTGTGTGAGTGAGTGGAGGAAGAGAGGAAAAGAACAAAATAGAAAATAGAAATATTGTTCGAAATTGGATAATGTTCGATATATTGTGTGGATATATATTGTAGTGGTAGTAGTATCCTCAGGTTAAGAAGTAGAAGCATTGTTTAATGTTGATAATTGTTCCGTTCCTGGATATAAATTTCAACATGGAATGTATCACATCAAATAGATGTAGATGTTTGCTTATCTTTGATACAGACCCCTACTTTCTTTCTTTAGCTCTAATAAAAAAAAAAATTAGGGATGTGGCGATTGATTATACACGAAGAATTGTATCCTTCATTCACCTGAACCACTACTCTTTACTATTTCTTGGATCCTTTCAACTCCACTTTGTTGGATCATCAATTATCATCACTACCACTACCACTACTATCATCGAACAATGTATATGTATCAATTTGTGATAGTAGTGGGGTGGAGGAGGACAATTTCCAAAATGCAGTGTAGTAGTGGCATATCCATTGCAACAAAATAAGCTATTCTCGTAAAAAAAAATCAATCAAAAAAAAAAAAAAAAATTCAATGGGGAGAGAGAAAGAGAGAGAGAATTATTTTTTTCTCCCTTCTTCACTTCGTTCATGACTTGTCGTTTGTTTGCTTGATGATGATGACGATGGCCCCACATATAGAAAGGGAGGAGAGAGAAAGGGGGAAGAAGATGGTGGTTATGGAGGGGGGAAGAACATGGTGAGCTCGACGAACATTTTTATAAACAAAAAAAAAATTCACGAATATAGCGAACAAGACAATTGTGAGACAAGACGTTAACGACGACGATGATGACGACAAAAAGTTTTTTCGAAAGATTCACATTTCGCATTTTATACAATTTATCTCCTCTCGATATTGCTTGTGTTTGCCTTTTTTCTTACATTGCTTGCATCAATTGCTTGCATCTTGTGTGTGTAATAACCTCCAACCTTTTATCTTCCCCTTTTATCCCCTCCCCCACACGTTTGACACATATGTTTTATTCATAAAGGTCGTATTTTTTGGGGACTAAGATAAGATCTTTTCGATCAATTCTTTGATTATAAAATCAGTGGAATTCAGAAAAAGTCGGAAAAAACTTTTTTAGTCAAGCCAATTATTTTACCCAGAACGAAAAAATTTAAAAATTTAAAAATTTGAAAATTTGAAAATTCCAAAAAAAAACTAAAAAAAATTGGGCCCAATTAAAAAAAAATTCAAATTTTTCAAAATTTTCCAAGAAAAAAAAACGTCGGGCGTCGATTTGAAATGAATAAAACTCACTCATTGTGTGTGTGTGTCAGTGAGAGAAAAAATCTAACCTAACCTAACCTAAGTCATCATTTTAACACCGAGTGAGTAAGCGAGAGAGAAATTTTTTTTTTTTTTTTTTTTTTTTTTTTTTTTTTTTTAAATTAAAAAACAAAAAAAC